TTGATCACCATTCACCATGTGTACTTTTGCTTTTTAAAAAAAATACTGTAAAAAGGGAATACACTCCACATTTGCACTGTTGTCGTGTGTCCTGTGGCTGTTTTTGCCCCACTATTTGTATTCTTATTTTGAGGCAAGCATTTAAATAATTTTACTGCTAAATAGAGAGAGAGAGGAGAGGAGCAGCGACGGCGTCGGCGACGACAACAGGCCCCTGGCAGCAACAGCGTCGCCGTCTCTTCTTTTCCTCCTCCTTCCTCCTCTGGGGTGCCCGGAAAAGAGGCACTTACTCCTGTGTACGCTTCACAACAGGGCGAGCATTTTGTTAATTTTCCATTTTTAAATAGAGGCACTCTTCTACTCCTGTATACAGGCAGGGGCTGGGACTGGCGTTATGCTCCGATAACTTCCTGTCATACATCCTTTCCCCGGTCATTCCCTGCCAGTCCCCTTTCAGCCTATTGGGCATCGTCTCTGGGGTGCCCGGAAAAGAGGCACTCCTCTACTCCTGTGTGTACGCTTCCCCCCCCCCCCCAACTGCCTTTCATACACGCATCCCTGAGGTCAGTGCTCGTCGGCATGTATTAGCTCTAGAGGGTGAGCATTTGGTTAATTTTCCATTTTTGAATAGAGGCACTCTTCTACTCCTGTATGCTCCCCCCCCCAACTCCCTTTCATACCCCCTTTCCCCAGTCGTTTCCTGCCGGTCCCCTATCAGCCTATTGGGCATCGTCTCTGGGGTGCCCGGAAAAGAGGCACTCCTGTACTCCAGTGTACGCTTCCCCCCCCCAACACAAAGTGCTTTGAGCACACTAGTTTTTTCAAAGTAAACGCTTCGGTCCTCTACATTTTCATAGAAGCACTTCTTTTTATTGATGATTTTAATGGCGACTTTTTGTCAAGTTTTTAAAATTAAAATTAAAATTAAACTCTAAAATTACCACAGTTATATCTAAGGAATGGGGGGAGCGACCAAAGGAACCATAACAGATTCCAAACAATTTTATACAAGGATGGAATTACATTTTGGGAGGGTGCCCTGATGCGTACTAAACGCGGGAACATTGCCCTGATGCGATCGGACCCAGGTTATCTAGAGTAACCAAAGCGGCCGGGGAGCCCGGGTTGTTTTCGGACTGATAACGACCAAAGGAACCATAACAGATGCAAATCAACTGGGTGAAATAGCTTTTGTTTCACCAAAGAGAAATGCTCCGATAACTTCCTGTCATACATCCTTTCCCCGGTCATTCCCTGCCAGTCCCCTTTCAGCCTGTTGGGCATTGCCTCTGGGGTGCCCGGAGAAGAGGCACTCCTGTACTCCAGTGTACGCTTCCCCCCCCAACTCCCTTTCATACACCCTTTCCCCAGTCGTTTCCTGCCGGTCCCCTATCAGCCTATTGGGCATCGTCTCTGGGGTGCCCGGAAAAGAGGCACTCCTCTACTCCTGTGTGTACGCTTCCCCCCCCAAACTGCCTTTCATACACGCATCCCTTTGCAAATAAAATGCATAGAAATTAAAGAACTGGGTTCAAAGGCAATGAATTTCCTGCTGGTAAAAGATTAAGAATTCTTTCTGTTCCCTCTCCATGGAAAAAAAATCAACTGCCTGTGCCCCAGTGTACGCTTCCCCCCCCCAACTCCCTGTCATACAGCCTTGATTGTTTTAATGAGCCATTATCAGTTTCACTGCAACGCCCTTGTGTACCCTTCAGGGGACACCCGCATAGCCAGCCAGATCATCCGAATCAACCCTGGCGATCAATGGCACTCCTGTACTCGTGTACTTGTTCCTGATTAATGGGACCGGCCTGCTTTGAACACACTAAAAAGGAAACGCTTTGGACCACAGGGACACTCGTTTAAGAGCACGGGGGGAGCGCCGAGAGGCAGGGGCTGGGACAGACTGGCGGAAGAGGTCTCTGCCGCCCTCTCTACATTTTGGAGGAAGCACTTCTTTTTATTGATGATTTTAATGGCGACTTTATGGCAAGTTTCTGTGTACGCCCCCCCCAACTCCCTGTCATACAGCCTTTGGCACTCCTGTGCCCTCCCCCCCCCAACTCCCTGTCATGCAGCCTTTGGCACTCCTGTGCCCTCCCCCCCCAACTCCCTGTCATGCAGCCTTTGGCACTCCTGTGCCCTCCCCCCCCAACTCATCACAACAGCTTCGGGAGGGAAGCACATTTTGGAGGAAGCACTTCTTTTTATTGATGATTTTAAAGGCGACTTTTAGTCAAGTTTCTATACGGTCACCCTCTTTTTTTCCCCATCACCCCATCACGAATGAGGTTCAACGGGTTACCCGCACCTGTTGGCGTAGGGTAGACACACACTGTAGCGCGCATGCAGCCCCGGACATCTAAGGGCATCACAGGAATGCGACTTTATTTTGGTATAAAAAATAGGGATTACTACAAAATGGGAAAGTTCAGAAAAGCAAAGGGGAAGCAAACTACAAGCTATCATTAGCTAAATATTTCTTTTATTCTTGATTAATGATTAATGATTGATTTTAATGGCGATTTTTTTACTGATGATTTTAAAGGCGACTTTAATACTGGAGACCTCGGTACACTCCTTCTTTACCTTGGACGTCGTCCTCTTCCACCGAGCGCGCAGCTTGATTGGAGAGGAAAGGTCACCAAAATACTGTATATTTCAGGTTTGTGATTGATGACCAGTCTTGGAATTACTCTAAAGATTTTCTATCATATTATCTACCAATCTATATGTCTTTAACATTAATATCTAGTCTACATTATTGTAAAAAACTCAGAATTTGTGCCAAGAGGTAACTTAAAACAGGGTCCTTTAAGAATGAAGTCCATGTTGCAGGGACTCACTCTCATGGCAGAATGAAAGGAAAAAGAAGTTTTTCCCCTCTTTTATTGATTATTTATCTGATCGTCTTAGAATCTCCGACTTTCGTTCTTGAGTAATGAAAATATGCATAACCTCAAAAAAATAAACAAATCCACAAAAAACAAAAACCTCCGACTTTCGTTTCATTTGTTCATTTGAATAGTTGCAAAGACCCTTGTGTGCCTGTGTGTGCGTTTCTCCCTGTCCTGTGGCTGTGTTCGCTCCACAAGAGGGCAAGGTTTTTGTTAATTTTCCATTTTTAAATATTACTGAAAAATATTTCTCTTTTATTCTTCAAAAAATCAAAAAATAACCTAAAAAAAGAGAAGACCCTTCTGTTGGTGTGTGCTCTCATTTGCCCTGTCTCGTGGCTGTGTTTGGTCCACATCAGGGCCAGTTTTTGGTTAATTTTCCATTTCTGAATATTTTCTAAAAATACCTGCCTTTTATTCTTTAAAAAAAATACAAAAAATATTCTAAAAAAATAAAAGTCTCTTCTGTTGCTGTGTGCTCTCATTTGCTGTCTCCTGCCTGTGTTTGGTCCACATCAGGGCCATTTTTTGGTTCAGTTTCCATTTTCTGAATATTTTCTAAAAATACCTGCATTTTATTCTTAAAAAATACAAAAAATATTCTAAAAAAGAAAAGACTCTTCTGTTGGTGTGTGCTCTCGTTTGTCCTGTCTCGTGGCTGTGTTTGGTCCACATCAGGGCCAGTTTTTGGTTAATTTTCCATTTCTGAATATTTTCTAAAAATACCTGCCTTTTATTGTTAAAAAATACAAAAAATATTCTAAAAAAGAAAAGACTCTTCTGTTGGTGTGTGCTCTCGTTTGTCCTGTCTCGTGGCTGTGTTTGGTCCACATCAGGGCCAGTTTTTGGGTTAATTTTCCATTTTTGAATATTTTCTAAAAATACCTGCCTTTTATTCTTAAAAAATACAAAAAATATTCTAAAAAAGAAAAGACTCTTCTGTTGGTGTGTGCTCTCGTTTGTCCTGTCTCGTGGCTGTGTTTGGTCCACATCAAGGCCAGTTTTGGGTTAATTTTCCATTTTTGAATATTTTCTAAAAATACCTGTCTTTTATTGTTAAAAAAATACAAAATATTCGTTTTAACGAATCGGTTCGTTATTATTTCAATATCGAATCGAATCGTATTTAATAACGACGTTTCGGAAGCCGCTTTTGCGCATGCGCGATCGCGTCCGCCATTTTAACGAATCGATTCGTTATATCCTTAACGAATCGACCCCCGCCAATAACGAAGCTTTGGAAGTGTTTTTGCGCATGCGCGGGGGTCCGCCATCTTTACAAAATGTTTTGTAAATATTTACGAAATTTCGTAAATACCGAAACTTTTTTTTGGAAAGTTTTGTAATTATTTTAAATATCGAAACAAAAAAACACCCCAATTACAAATCGATTTTAGAAACAAATTTTTTCTTGATCAAACAGGCCTACTATCCATGGGTGTATCTGTTCTTTTTCTGTAATTTCTTCCTCCCTTTTACATGTTCAATGCAAACTACATGAATTAAGCATAGATTTTGTGATACCCAATTAATTAACACTTAGAGTTAGCAGTATACTAGAAAATTGGAATCTTAAATCAAAGCATAGTGTTTATTTGATAAATAAAATATCAAATCTTCCTTTGTTTTGATCCTAATAACCATTGCATCACAGATTGCCCATAATGGGAAGATGTGGATCATTGACTTAACAAGTGTTGAATTGTAGTTTGTCTAAAGAGAGGAAGAATGGCTTGCCTACGCACAACCCTAACTTTTTTCTCTTTAATAAGCCAAGGTATGTACATGCAAACTGAGTTGTCAGATATTTATCCTCTTAACATGCATGTTGTTTCCATCTTAAGTAAAATCATAGCTTGCTGGTTGGCTCCTATTTCTGTTGAGTGAGTTCATCAGGTTCATGAAAAACCCATTTTGGTCAGAAATAGTTGGAAAAATATGAACAGGATCAGAATATGCATTGTATTATGGCGAACTTTTACAGCATTTATGTTATTTGAATATATTTCTCATGCTTGCTAGGGGAATGGCACAGATATTTTGTGCAACTTCCTGAGTGTGTTACTATTTTTAACAAGCTGTTTTTCTCTTATTTTGTAACAGTGCCTGAAAATGACAACAAAGCGGAACTTGTTTGTGAGGTTGGTGCCATGCCGCTGTTTGCGTGGCGAAGAGGAAACTGTCACTGCACTTGATTATTCTCACTGCAGCCTAGAGCAGGTGCCTAAGGAGATTTTTACTTTTGAAAAAACATTGGAGGAACTCTATCTCGATGCTAATCAAATTGAAGAGCTTCCAAAGGTATGTTTCAGGCACAGACTGCCACTGAAAAAAAACACAGCTAAAGATAAGCAACATTTCTTTGCTGCATGCATCCCAGTCATGTTCCTAAATATACCTTTTCCTATTCCTCTCTTTACAACACAGGACACACTTCACTGTGACAGCCTGGGTACTGTGTTTAATGCATGCAGACTAAAAACTTTTATCTGAAATCTTTCTAAGATTGCAAAGGCATGATATATTTAAACGACTCTATGTATAGCGTATTTTTATTTATTTCAGTATAAGCTAAAACTAGAACTGTGAGTGAACTAGAACCTTTGGTAATACCTATGTTTCAAAAAGAATCTTAGGATTTTTGGCAAAACTAGAAAGCCTCATTATTGATAAACATTCAGATTGTTTTACTGATTAATAGGCATGTGTTAGGCAGTTATTTATTATATTTTATTTGGCTTTTTGAATGTGACAAATTTATTAATGTGTTCATAATAGGTATCTATTGCTTTTGTTCCAATAGCAACTTTTTAATTGTCAGTCTCTGCACAAGTTGAGTTTGCCGGACAATGATCTAACAACATTGCCTGCATCCATAGCAAATCTCATTAACCTCAGGGAACTGGATGTCAGCAAGAATGGTAAGTTGTTGGTTTTTTTCCTACAGTCAAATGTTATATCTGTCTAGATTAACGAACTGCAGTTGGCCTTTCACATTTCCAGATTTAACTTTTGTGCACTTGATTGTTTGTGGATTTAATTGATATGTTCTCTCTAGCAGTTTGTAGGTCTTCCAGCAAAACTATATGGTCATTGTCTGAAGAAGAAAAATCAAACTCTAGAGGGACCTAGAGACTTCTAGAGATAATCTTTCTTTAGGCATTTGTCGGTTTTCCTCTGATTCTTTTCTGTAGAGAAGATAAACCTATAACCAACCATAGCTGTATGGTAGCTAGAGCCACTGAGTAGCTTCCTGCATCAACAAATGGCCTCTTGTTGTATGAGGAATGCATCACATACCAGTGTGTTTCAAAATCTCATTGATTCTGTAACCAGACTCAATTCAGTGAGTTTCATTTAAAAATGCCTGTGAGGTGAACAAAATGTCACTGTATGGAGTGCTTTTCACAACTTCAACTACACGGTTATAGTTATCCTTTGTTTATTTCTCATTGAACTGTTTTGTGTGGTGGGGTGCCTATGAGGATTTTTTAAGTATGGTCTACTTGAGGAATCACACTTGTATAATTGGTTATTGTTTCCTCTCTAGTGGTCTTCCTGCACTGTTTGTGTGATGGTCTTTCTCTTTGTTGTCTGAAATGTTTAACTTTATTTCAAAATGTCACAGTAAGCAGAAGCCCTATAAACAAATACCATTTGGCAAACTGCTGTTACATTAAAGATGACTTTTTCCCTTCATGTTAGTGCAGTACAAAATAAAGATGATCAAAGATTGACCTGCTTTTTGTTCAGTGCATACTCCTTTTATCTAACCTTTCCCCATCATCCCTCTGGCTATTTATTTGAACTATGATTATTTAAATGATTTTCATTTAGACAGTAAAACATATGTTTTAGTCTCCCTTCTTGGAATATGTATAGAATAATTAAGGTAGAACATAAAGATCACAATATGGCACAGTCAATAAATTGACCTTTAAAGTATGCAGAACCCAAATAAAATATTGGCAATCTGGATATTTCAAGCTTCTACCCTTAAAAGACCAAGAAAAAAGGTAAAATGTGTATGTGGTTGCTTCCTAAAAATATAAGCCTAGATAAGTGCATCAGTGTCATTTCCATTTCCAGTAATCAAGGGTTCTAATCTTGATCAGAAATATTGCTTTAAATCTTATGTAACTGTCAGCCATCTTCTTTGAATTCACAACGGATTATTAAGTGTGTGTGTGCACATGCACACATACTTTAACTGTCAATGTTTGGCAAACCCATGAATTTCATAAGAGTTTTTTAAGGCAAGGAATACTCAGAGGTGCTTTTTTTTTTCAGTGTCTTCCTCTGAAACATAACCCACAGCTCCTAGTATTTGTAGGCTGTCTCCCATTAAAGTATTAATCAAGGTTTACCCTGCTTAGTTTTCAAGGTCTGGTGCCTTAGGATAGAATGCATTATATTAATTTTGTTCCTATCCGGTTAATAACATTCAGTAGAAGCTATGTTGACTATAAAAATAAATAAAGTAGGAAAAAGAGATGGAAGGAGGAAGGAAGGGACAAAAAGAAAGATGAAAAGGGGGAGGAAGGAAAAGGAAAGAAAGACAGAAATTTAACAAGAGAAATAGGAAAAATTGAAGTAAGGAATAAGAAAGGAAGAAAAGTAAGAAAGAAAGGTATAAAAGGGGAAAGAAGAAAGTAAAAAAGAGAAAGAAAGGTATTTAGGAAAACGCAGAAAGGAATTCAGAAAGCAAGGTGTAGTGGTTTGAACCTCAACTATGGCTCTGATCCTACTGGGTGATGTTAGGGAAGTAACATACACTCCGCCTCAGAGGAAAACAAAGGCCAGTCTCCTCTGAATAAATCTTGACAAGAAAACTCTTGATAGGGTTGCCATAACTCTAAAACGACTTGAAAGCACACAACAACAACAATAATCCTAATTAGTTATTAAGTATACCCTTGTTGGAAAGTGAGGGGCTAAAAACATATTTTTGGCCCCAAGAAGCTTAGCCTATCATATGATGGCCCCTTACTCCTCAGAAGTTGTGCAGGCTTGCTGTAAAGGTTTAGCATCTTCTTGATATGTTACCAGTTTATTGTTCAGAAATTTCTGAATATGTAGGCAATCATAGATGACATTGAACTAAACATGTCAGTTATTGTTTTCTATTTCAAATGCTGATAAAATGAAGTGGTAAGAGAAAGATCTGCTTTTTTGGGCAAACATATATTTTTGAGATGCATTTTAGGGAAAAAGGAAAATGTACACTGTGAGCAAAAAATTTAGCTTCAGATTGTTTTATGCTAGCTATACAAAGCTTCATAATGACCCAGGGCAATCTGGCAAGGAGTACACATCCCTCCTTCCAAAATGCCTATTGGTTTAGGGGAAATTGGCAGGGAACTCAGCTTTTTTCAGAGTGTTTGCCAAATATCTGAGGTTGGTGGAGAAAAATAATTAAATAGTAATAAAAGTGAATGGAAAATAAATTCTGATACAGGTTTAATATAATGTATCTGAAACATTTGGGACCAGAAATGTTTTGAATTTCAGATTTTTTTCAGGTTTTGAAATACAGCTGGCCCCCTGTTTCCAAAAATTCTGTATCCATGGAGTCAACCATCCATGGCTTGAAAATATTTTTTAAAATAATCAAAGGAGCTCTGTAAACTAACCCCAGCAGATATCAAGAACCTACTATAACTGTGAAGTGATGGAAATCCAAACACAGTGCTTGTCAGAAATACACACCACCTACCATTTCACATATCCTCACATATCTCTCCAACCTTGTCTTGTTTCCATCTGGGAATGAATGGAGCAAGAGCATAGCAGCCGCCTTTGGAGTAATTCAGATTTCCAGATAAGAGACGCTCAACATGTGCATCTGAATAATTCAGCATTGTTTAATCAGCATCATCTGTGATTCTGGTCTATTTGACACGGAGATATATTAGACATGCTTGCAGACTTCGGACAGAATCCTATGTGTCAAGATAATTTGTTCAATTTGTTCAAGCAATGTAAAGGCATAAATACCCTAGAGCAGGGGTCCTCAAACTATGGCCCGGGGGTCGGATATGGCCCTCCAAGGTCATTTACCCGGCCCTCGCTCAGGGTCAACCTAAGTCTGAAATGACTTGAAAGCACACAATGATGACAACAACAATTCTATCTCATCAGCCAAAAGCAGGCCCACATTTCCCATTGAAATACTTGTAAGTTTATATTTATTAAAATTGTTCTTCACTTTAATTATTGTATTGTTTTAAAGTGTTTTTGAACTACAAATAAGATATGTGCAGTGTGCATAGGAATTTGTTCATGTTTTTTTAAAATTATAATCCGGCCCTCCAACAGTTTGAGGGACTGTGACCTGGCCCTCTGTTTAAAAAGTTTGAGAACCCCCCTGCCCTAGAGGTTCCAGATACTGTATGATCTAGGAAGTTAAATAGGTCCAGCTATGGTTAGTACTTGGATGGGAGAATGACGTGAATACCAGATGTGTAGGCTAATATTTCAGAGGAAAGAACTGGTTAAACCACTTCTGAATATTTATGCAATCATAATAAACCAACAGACAATATGATGGCACACACACATACATAGAACAATGTGAACAAAGGAAGCACTTGTTTAGCTATTTCTTTTGAAGGTTCCAAGCTATTTGGTTATGCTTTGGATGGGGTTTTGGTGGAGATCAAACACAAAAAGAAAGTGTTACTATTGTTGGCTAAAAAAGAAAATAAAAAACATTTTGTATTGGTGCCCAGTCTTTTCAAGTTATACACTCAAATTTCAATGGTAAGTATATGGACCCTTTAGATCAAATTGGGATTTGTCTAAACAACAGCAGTACTATAAAGACAACTCGACCTCTTTGACCAAGCAGGGTTGAGAGTCTAGTAAATCCTAGTGACTTGGGGCAGCTTCCAGTCTGGTTCATCTGCTGCATTTTACCCATTGGTCAGAGCAGATGTCTCTTAACGCTTGGGTGGGCAGAACTGTGGGGCAGACTTATACTATGGATTTTCAATCTTCATCATTCAGTCTCACATTCTGAGGTCATCAGAAAAGCATTCTCTGATGTTTCAGCCATTACAACATTTTATCCAGTAGATAGCTATAGAGTCATTTCCTCCTTAAGGTAGATTTTTGTGCTCTTACTCTCTGACTTTCTTGTTCCCCATCCCCCAGAAAAATAAGGACTGGAGCACAGGGTCTAAAAGTGGAACAGGGTCCATAGTTTTGTGATCAGGTGAAGATTCCATATAGAAACCTTAGGATGGATTGTGGAAGGGATGCAAGGGGGGGTGGTGGTGGTGGTGGTGGTGGTGGAATCTCTCATCCTCCAGGATATGTAGTTGCACATTCTGATACATCCAGGACAAGAAGTATCCCAAGTTTGCTTACCTGGAGGACCTTGCCATTCGAAATCCAAGGGCCATCCAGTACAACCCCTTTGGCAACGTAGAAAAGCACAATCAAAGCATCCCCAACAGATGGCCATTCAGCCTTTGTAACAACAACAACAACAACAGGAGGAGGAGGAGGAGGAGGAGGAAGGAGGAGCAACCACAGAGGCCATCCAGTCCAACCTCCTTCTGCCTTGCAGAAAAAGCACAATCAAAGCATCCCCTAAGTGGTGGGAGGAAAATAGGGTGAGGGGGAAAGGATCTGAGCAGCAAAGAAGGCAAGGGAGGCAGGTTGAAAAGACTGGGTGGTGAGGGAGGTGGGGGAAGGGGAGGAGCAAGAGAAAGGAGGGAAATCTTAGAGGGGGAGGGAGGAGGAGGGAACGGTGAAGACCCTCAGTATGCTTCATGGAACTCCAAGGGCTCCATGGAGCACTTTGAGAACCACTGATCTAGAGCAATGTCTCCAACATTTGGGAACCATTACACATATAGTTCTATCCAGAGTTCTCCTCCAAGATGACAGGAAGAAGCTTCAAGATTCTGTCTGG